TCTTTCTCTCTCTACACCTCTCCTTTACAGCTGCCTTTTCTTTTTCCCATTTCCCAATAACGATATTGATTGATCTCTAGAATTCATTTTCACGCCTCCTTGGCTCACCTATGATATCGTAAAAACAGAAACGCCATTTCACTGATTACAGTCATTATGATTGCTCTCCGTCGCATTCCCTTAATAGATGAAATAAAAGTCCCCTTTGGCAAGACAAAAAGGGGCAAAAAAAAGGGGGGGGGGTGAACCTCGCTGAACTTTCAACGGTTCCAAAGCGACCCTCGGACTTGTGTAGTTTCTCTGAATGCAGGTCATACGTTTCGAAGATAAAATGAAACACAACCAGAGAACTGTTTACATTGCATCGAGCGAAACAACGACAGGCATCAAATTGGATTTTTCCTTTCGATGTAACCTAAACATTGTTTATACATTTAAACTGGAACTATTTCACGGTTACCTTTTAACAGGTTAAACAAAGTTCATGGTGTCGTTGGCTAAAACAGAAGAAGAGAGGGTATGAAAACCAACAAACGAAAGAGAACTTGCCTTTTTGATGTTTGTCACATTGCGTTAAAGCGGATTTACATTAAGGGACCTGTGACGCCAAAAAGCAAACTGTTTTGATGTTATTCTGTGACTCCTGAAATGTAAGACACTCGGCCTCGCAATGAGCTGTGTTCAAATTAACCGGGGGGGAAAAAACCACACTTTGACAGTTTGATACCACCACCACCACCCTCTCTCCTCAACTCCCTGAAAGTAAACGTGTACACCTCTTTATGAGTACACACGTGGGGGGGGGGGGGAGAGAGAGAGAGAGAGACAGAGACAGAGACAGAGACAGAGACAGAGACAGAGACAGAGACAGAGACAGACAGAGACAGACAGCCAGACAGACAGACAGACAGACAGAGACAGAGACAGAGACAGAGAGAGAGACAGACAGACAGACAGACAGACCGTGTGTGTGTGGTGTTTGTGTGAGTGTGTGTGTGTGTGTGTGTGTGTGTGTGTGTGTGTGTGTGTGTGTGTGTGTGTATGTGTGTGCGTGCGTGCGGTATAATTTAAGTCGGATAAACTTAATCAATGAATGGCAATCATCTCCACAAACATTATCTACAACTACAACATTTCTTATGAGTAATATTACATGGAACCAGAAACATAAAGTTGTTAGAGCATTTTATTTTTTATAATTAATTGATAAAAACATTGACATATTAAACGATAAGGGAAAATAAATATCAAAAACATATCGTTTGAGTTATGTGGAAACACAAAAAATGCTCAGTGACCTGATATTGTCATTGTTTAAACCTCTTTAAAGTACACATTTTCATCAGTTTCAGTGTGTAGTAGATCTATAGTGGAACTCCATTGGCCGAAACCATCGATAGCCTCCTGTTTTTATTCACTCACTTTGAACTGACTCACTGACACACTGACTCACACAACCCCCCTCCCAAACACACACACAAGCACACACACACCCACCCACCCACACACACACACACACACACACACACACACACACACACACACACACACACACACACACACACACACACACACACACATACATGAGAAGGTAACATTTAGCCAGAGATCTTGCGTAGCGTATTGCCGATGATGGGTGTTTTTAGGTCAGAAAGGGCGTGGCATGTAAGAGGGACCCCACAAACCTGAAAGAAAATTAAGGCGAGAGAGAGAGAGAGAGAGAGAGAGAGAGAGAGAGAGAGAGAGAGAGACAGACAGACAGACAGACAGACAGACAGACAGACAGACAGACGTATGGAGGGACAGCCGGACTGACAGAGGGAGACTCTTTAGAGGGGAGTTTTTTGGTATGAGGCCTCTATAAAAGGAGGGTAGAGCTCTCCTCCAATTAACAATAACAGATGGCAGATTACTATTTTGTAAAATCATTGATGTAATTGCCAGGAGCAAGTCCAGGACCTTTGTAATAAGAAAAAAAGAAAACCAACGAATGTATTATCTGAGAGAAAATACATTTAATTCATTTGAAAATCCCGCCGCCATCTTTAAAAGGGTCTACAACTACACACGCCTTAATAAAAAATAATTTCAATTTTGGCATTGGTTGTTGGGGGGG